AGAACACTGTGTTCCTCCTTTAATTGCTGGGCTTACTTGTGGTTCCTACAAGTCTTAAAAGTAGAACAGGAGCCAGAGCCTTCAGTTACCAAGCTGCCTCTCCTGTGGAACCAGCTTCCAGTCTGTGTTCTGGAGGCAGACACCCGTCTCCACATTTAAGAGTCTTAAGACGTCCTTCCTCTATTGATAAAGGCTTATAGTTAGGGCTGGCTCAGGTGAGTCCTGAACCATCCCTTAGGTTATGCTTGCCCTCATGGATTCCTGGTTGTGCCTGCTGGCCATGGTTCTGCTTTAACCCCCACTAATATCCATCCAATATTCCATCAAGGCTGTTGGAAGGTAGCCGGGGGATTTATTAAGATCCAAATGCATTTTACCTTAAAAGTGGTACCAGGCCCAAGTGGACAGATGAAGGCAGTTTTTTCTGGCAATATGGACATAAAATTCAGGTGAGGGTTTTTAGGAGTCGGATATATCGGAGGGATGTGCTGATTTTGGTAGTTGAAGGGAAATTAAGTGATTATTGAAACGTCGTTATTTAGTTTTGTTACCCGCAAACAGGTAAGGTGTTGTTGCTTCTGAACGTAAACCCTCCTGCAGCTCTTCTCTCCTGCTCTTCCTCAAAAATCTGAATGAAAATGGAAGTAAATTCAATTGGTGGCACAAACCAGGACCAGGGATCAGGATCTACTTTATTGCACAATAACTTGGTGCAATAAAGTTAATATTAGTAAAAATCAGTTTACTAATCACCTATTGTTACTAATTCTTCTGGAAATGCGCCGGCGGACGGCCGACAACGGCAGCCTTGTCATGGGCAGCTTCCTATGCATTGTTGTAAGAACTGTTTTCTTACTTTCTTACTTTCTTACTAGTTTGTTCACGTCGCCGTAAACCTTTTTGCAATTTTTGAATACTTTTTATTTTTGTTGCAGCGGGTCTCCATTGGCGACAGGGAGTCGCATTGTTTACACCCACGACCAGATGGATCCGCCCTGAGGCACCCTTAGCTCTTGGACTGGAGACCGAGAGCCTTCCATTACCGGAGGAGCTTGAGGAGGAGATGCGGAGGCTGGCATGAAGCGGGGGTTAAATGAGGGATGAGAGAGAGGATTGGTTTAAACCCTACATCCCTGCATTCATCACTGGAAACAAACATGGCTTTACACGAGCAGATTACCGACCAACGTCACCACTTCCTGCTTCCGGACGGTTCAAGCGAACAGGGACACCCACCGCAACCGGCCAAGAAGAAAAGGATGGGTCTAACCATGCTCGGTTAAACAACAGGTGGTGTAACCCGCGGCACGTCTGTGTGAAAGGAGCGTGTCTGCAGCCCGACATCGAGCTTGCAGTACGTCACTTTTCCTCCACAGTTCCACGCAAACGCCATTCAAAATTTGTTGTGTCTCTCACCCGGCTTTTACATTATTGTACTGGAATTATCAACTTTTGGTGCCATCTGTGATGACATCGTTGTCCTACCAGTAAAACTACCCCTGGCGCTGACAGAAGTGACTTCCGAAACCCGGTATTTGTGGGTTTTGTTGGAACCGCTCCGTCGCCAAGCTAACCTAGCTAGGGTTTGTTTTTAGCCGGCTAGTTGCTAGCTGGACCCACCAAAGCACCTATCCCTCACCATGTTCAGTGTGTGGAACATTTGGTTTGCCGGCGTACTCACTGCCTGCAGAATGACATCAGGCGGCTAAGGCAGGATCTAAAAACAAGGAGTGAGGTCTGATCCTGGGTTTTTTCATCCTGTGGCTGGTCTTCTCAAGCTAAAACCACCTTCTGCGGCTTCTGATTTCTTAACCTGCTGTTTGCCTGGACGGTATTGCCACCAGTCTGGCCCACCGAGGTGGTTGTGGCGGAGCCTTTATCATCGAGCTCACTCAATTGATTGTCCACCCTTCCGATGGACCGGCTGCTGGTTACCAGGCCAGCGTGGGGAGCCGATCCTTTCGACCTAAACATTCCCAGCACTGGAGCATCGGACTCTGGTGGCCCACCCTCCGGGTCTGGAAGCCGAGGGAGACCGCTCTATGTTGTCATGCGTTTCAGACACCGTTCATAGAGAGACTCTTCAGTGCGAAAGGTGGAAATTCAGCACCATGCCACGGACACGCCGTTTGACGCACAGTAAATATTTGATTAACTTTTGATCACCAACGTGTCTTCATTGCAGTGATCGAATCTGAAGTCAATCTGATAAAATCTGTAGGAGGACTTAGTTAAAATAGAAGCCCTGAAATGCCGGAAATGGCATCACAGTTTGACATTCGATTCAAAATGGCCAACTTTGACGGCACGCCACAGACACGCCCTTCAACGTACACAACGTTACAAATTGCACAAGTTTTAATCAGCAACATTTTTTGATTGTACTGACCACTTTTGAAGTAGATAAATTCCCTAGGAGGAATTCGTTCAAATACAAGGCAAAAAGTTTGCCGAAAGTGAAAATGAAAATGGCCGCCGAAAGTGAAAATGAAAATGAAAATGATCGACTTTCTGTGGGGTTTGGGGTATGGGTCCAACAGGCTTTTTTGTACGTCCTAACTTAGTATATATGCCTGCCAATTTTCATACATGTCCCCTAAACAAGTCACTGGGGCTGGTTTTTTGAAAGTTTGT